TAATAATAAAGTTTCAGAAATTATAAAAGAGGTAAATTATTAATCTGATATAATTTTTACTATTATTAGATATTAACAAATATATTTTTATAATTATTTTTTTTAGTTAAAAGTATATTCTGAACTTAGATCTCTTTATAGTGTTAACAGATGTTATGGAATTACTAAAAGTCCAAATGAGAATGATTATCTCTTGGTAAATCATTATGCCACACGTGGTGATTTACATAATAATCTCAAAAAAAATTTTAAAAAAATGATTTGGGAAGATAAAATTGAATCAATTCATGATATTACAATTGGGTAAATTTTAAAATTTATTATTAGATTCATTATTATAAATATTTATAGTAAAATTATGATTTTTCATTGTAATGTGAATTAGATTAAGGGAAATTCATGAAAAGAATTACATCCATCATGACTTGCACAGTGGTAATATTTTAACATATGGTTATATTGACAGAGGTCAACATGTTAGTGAAATAGGAGATTTAGGACTATGTCAACAAACAATAAGTGAAAAAGATGAAATCTTTGGAGTTATTCCATACATTGCACCTGAAGTATTATCAAAAAAGCCATATACTAAAGAATCAGACATTTACAGTTTTGGTATGATTATGTGGGAGATGACTACTGGAAAGAAACCATTTCATGATAGACCACACAATCATTGCCTTATATCAGATATTTTAAAAGGAGAAAGACCTCAAATCACTGTTGATACCCCTGAATTTTATGCTGAATTGATGAAAAGATGTTGGGATCCAAAACCAGAAAATAGACCAACAGCTGAAGAACTTTATTCTGTTTTTAAGGAATACCGTTCTGAACCTTCTAGAGAAAAAATAAAGATTATTGATTTAGCAGAAGCTAAACGAAAAGAACTTATAAAAACAGAAAAATACTTTTCAGATGCAGAGAATTATAATCATCATCCAGAATCATTCTATACAAGCCGTTCACTAAATAAATTAATTCAGCAATCTGAGTCATTAAATATTTCATCAACTCCTGTATCATTTGAATATGAACACACTGATGATGATGACAGTGATTAGAATATAAATAATTTGATGAAATACAACTTTTAATAGATAATCATGATAAAAAAATCAAAAAATTGTTATTTATTTATTTATTTATTATTATTTAATTATTATTTATTTATATCATATAACAATAAATTTAAATGTTTTACTATGAATAAGAACTGTTAATCTTTAACTCAATATCAGTGTTAGAGTTGCCTTCCAAAACTCATGAGTTTAAAACTATTCAAAATTAAAACCATTCTGAACTGGTTTAGAAAATGAGCACAGATTCCTAAACTGTTCAAAACTCCTACAGTGGATGACAGTAAAAGCCATCAACTATTATTAGCTTATCAAAAATTGTATTGTTGCAGCCAGATTATTTTTTTTAGACTTACTAGCAAAAGCTACAAGGGTTTAAAATTTCACTGTATATATATAATTTCAAAATTTGCCATTGTTCAAAATGCCAAAATACACAAAAAAAATGAAATCACTTCTTTCAAACTTACAAAAAGCTAATGAAGCTCATCATTCAAAAGCTTCTAAACTTGATCTTTCTTTACAAGAAGAAATTCTAGTCAACACTGATTTCCCCCTTTCTTCTCAAAAACATTCTTCAATTGTTGATTTACCTCTTTCTTCACCTGAATTGTCTGATGATGATGAAATAATTGGCTTGGAAGCTCCTGAATATGATAATGAAAATACTAACATAAATATTATTGAGGATAATAATATAGGTGAAACCTCTAAGAAGAAAAACCATTGAGTTTATTATACCTAGAACAATTAGATACAAAAAGCAAAAACTTCATGAAGCTGCTGTAGGGACAGCAAATATCATGGACTTTTTTAAGTCAGTAAGTAAAGGAGATGATGATAACGATGATGATAGTGATGGTAATGATGATGGTGAAGAAGTAAAAGAAGATGAAGATAATACAAAGATCTCCAATGCAATAAAGTTTATTGAAAGAATTATAAATAATAATAATAATTCACTTTCAAAAAGTTTAAGGGCTAAATATTCCTGGGTTCAACTTTATTTAAGACATTTATTATTAGGTAAAAAAATGATGGAAGCAAGTAATACAGTTGCAGAATTACATGGAAAAGGGGAGTATTGTGCTAGATGTATTCATAGATGGGCTAAAATATGTTTAGAAGGTGTGCTTTATTTGTTTATTGCACTAAATAAAGATAATTAATTGAATTAATTGATTAATTATTTTTTTTTTAATAAATAGGAAAACATATTCCACCCTCTCTTCATGGTAAATTTCCCACCAAAAGCTTTCTACATGATGAATTGGTTCTTTACAAATATCTTCTTACCTTCATTCCAAAAAGTTTAAAGTTAGTCCAACACCAGTCAAAAAATATTTTGAAGAACATATTCTCCCTGTTTTACATGTTGAAGTTCCATTCACAATTTCTGTTAGAACTGCTGCTCATTGGATGAATAAAATGGGATTCTATTATAAACAATATAAAAAAGGAATTAATTTTGATGGACATAATCATGAAGATGTGGTCATATAGGGTTAAATTTCTTGAACAAGTTCAAGAATTTGATCACTTAATATCACATTGGAATGATAAAGAGTGTAAGGTAAGGACTCTTCCAACTTTGGAATTAGGTGAGAAAGAACATGTGTGGATTACACATGATGAGAGTACATTCCATACATATGATGGACCATGTGCTGTTTGGGGACCACAGGAAGAGCAACTATTGAGAAAAAAGGGTTTGGGGCAAGGAATTCATGTTTCAGATTTCTTAACAGAAACTATAGGTCCATTGAAAAATGATACTGATGAAACAAGAGTTACTATGATTTTAGGTGCAAATCGAGATGGTTATTGGAATGGTGAAAGTTAGTAACGCAACTTCATCAAGCATTGGGTATTTTTGAAAGAACACATCCTGGATGTGTTGGAATCTGGGCATTTGATAATGCTACATCACATACAGCTTATGCACCAGATGCACTGGTAGCAAGTAAAATGAATAAGGGACCAGGAGGATCTGTACCAAAAAATGAGGGATACAATTTGGGATGGACAAAGACAATCAATGTAATTGAATATGATTTTTTTATTTTAGATAAAAAAACAAACAAACCAATTAATCTTCTAGGGGAGCCTAAAGGGATATCAATATTAATGAAGAAAATAACAAAAAGAAAAGAAAGATCAAAATTAATTATCCACAAAATACAACATTGTTGGCTGATTTGGTCAAATCTCATTTATTTAAATATTTGAATCATTATTGGAAAGATCCAACTGCTGAAGAATTAATTGTATGTGTATTAGATCCTAGAGTAAAAAAAATTGAAATTTACAACAACAAATATACAAAATGAAGTTTTTAATTTGTTAAAAACAAAATGTTCTGAAATCCATTTGTCTCAACAATCTTCTATTCCTTCTCCTAATAAGACAATTAAAGAATTAGATACACAATCAACCAAAGTTTATAGACCATCATTAATGTCATCAATTTTTGCATATAAACAAACTTTAGAATTAGATGAAGTAAGCATAACTTAATAAATAATTATTAAAAAATTAATATTTAAATTAATTTAATATTTTTGGACTTTCAGGTTGACACTACCTTTTATTAGATGAAATTGATTGGGAGATGGATCCATTTATATGATGGAAGAATCACAAAAATGAATACCCAAATGTGTCATTATTAGCCAAAAAATATTTATGCATTGCAGCAACTTCTACTCCAAACAAGCATCTATTTAGTGAAGCTGGAAACACAATGACAGCCAAACAAACAAAATTGAACCCATTATTATTTGAAAGAATTGTATTTCTTAAAAAAATATGTAATGTGTTGAAAATATTTTTCCTAATGAATAAAAATTTATTATATTTCTTCTGATGAATAAAAATTTATTATATTTTTCCTGATGCAATAAAAATGGTTGCTAAAATCTTTTATGAAAGAGAATGTAATAAAGAAGGTCCTATATATGAATTTTATGAAATGTGAGGATTGCTTCAAGAAATAGAACCAAGCTTGAAAGGGTTTATTGACCAACTCTATTTAGCAGCTCAGTCATTTGAACATAATAAACAAACAATGACTGTATGAAGATGTTCATATGTTATCTTCTTGCTTCATTAAATAATACAAAAATTAACTCTTTAAGTTTAACCTTGCATTCTATTTAGATTCAGTAGGTATAAGTCTTGGAGCAACCACAACATCAAGAACAGTAGATTATAAAAAAAAGCAAGTTGCAGATTAACATGAGAAATATGTAGAGATGCACTTACAAAATATTCAAAAGTGCATTCATGTTGAATATTGACAATTATCATAGCATTCACATCCAGAGACAATCTGATACTACCACTATATCAAGCATGAAATCAGTATCCTTTGATTACTAAAACTTCATCTAATGGTGTTAATTGCCTTTTTTAGTTTACAATCATCACCTTCCAAGAGGCTTTGTTACTTCTAGGAAACCATCTACAAACATTTTTTTGCAATTATGTAATTGTGATTATGCTAACTATACTAATTTGGATAAGAGTAGTGTACTCAGATGTGGACATGGTTATCACAATCATTGTCTACAAAGGTGCCAATCTAAACGTTTGATATCTTCAAGTCAAAATCAAAAAAAATGTCAATACATTAAAAGAAAGTATGATGAAAATATTAAATGAAAATGAATTTATTGAAAATAACGAAAATACAGTTAATGATGATCCAGGTAATGTTGAATCAGCAACAGATGACAGCAACAATGGAAATTTTATTAAAAAATTTTTTGGGTTGTAAATTTTGTTTTTATTAAATAAATTTGTTTGATTTTTCATACATTGTTCATTTTCCGTCTCAATCATGTATCTTAAATTTGTTGTGTTTACAATCATTTCATTGACATTCATTATATTAAGGTTATTTTGATTATAT